TTTGCGGTTGTTGGCGCTAGAAAAATCGACCTCTGGAGGTCAATTTTGTTAAAAAATATTTTTAATATTATTTTTGTGAAATCGACCTTTGTTTGCATTTTCTTGATTACTTATGCCAAAAAAATCTACTATGGGGTTGATTTTGTTAAAATTATTTTCGTGAAATCGACTTTTAGAGGGTTTTAACAAAAAATAAATTTAAATAGTATAAATAAAAAAATTAAAAAAAGTCTGATAAGAGTTAGGGTTGAGTAAATTTAAAAATTGAGTGAGTGAATTTATTTAATTGGGGTCGGAGTACCCCTATTGTCATATATTATTCAAGTTGTTGAGGTGTGAAACTCAATTATTGGGAAGCCATATATGTAGAAGTGTAGATTGAGGCTTAGACTGACTTTTCAGGATTTAGATTATCTTTGTTAAATGTTGTTGGAATATAAATTTAATGATGGAATAGGAATCCTAAATTATTACTACAAGATTTGTTATTTAATATTTATTTAATACATGTCTAGTTAAAATTTATCTATCCTAGTTCATATTATAATAGGTTTTCTAGTAAGATTCAGGGAACTTAAAGTAATAGAGAGAACTTAAAAGTAAGATTTAAGAACTGTAGAGTTTATGAATAAGACATTTTCGTTTAAATATTCTTATGTATTTTATTTCCTTTTTCTAGGCCAAAATGGAATACGGGCATGCTCAGAGGTCAAAATATGAATGTCTTCTTTTTGGTACGTACGTTATCTTTTTAAAATTTAATTAGCGTTTGATCACAAATTTTGAAAGATTATCTACAAATATTTATTTGATCATGAAACTTAATTAGATTTTGAAAATCTGACCTTCAAATATTTTTCAAATTCCCAAAAGTTGGTTTAGACCAGTTTTGGGAACTTCCACACACGAAAATTCAAATATTTTTCCTTAGTAAAATGCATGTCCGAACACAATTTCATATTTCAGAAATTCAAATTTTCAAGTTTCAATTTCAAAATTTATGACCAAATGGAAGTCGATATCAAATCCGATTTCTTCATTTTATTTCATCTTATTTTTATTTTGGAATTTACAGATCTAGATGACACTCTTTACCCCCTTAGTATTGGTCTGGCTGTTGATGTCACCAAGAACATTGAAGGTATAAATACTTGAAATGTACTTCAAAGTTTTAAAATAATGATTAGTATATAATTATGTCTCTAATTTAGATATTAATGTGCATCTACAGATTATATGGTTGAAAAGCTTGGAATAGAACAAAGCAAAATTGTTGAGTTGGGTAATTTATTGTACAAGAATTATGGAACCACAATGGCAGGCCTAAGGGTATTCTTACTTTAGCATTAATTATGATTATAGTAAAAATTTTAATTTTGACAAATTTTAATAACTTAATGAGACAACTTGTTTATTTTTGGTAGGCAATTGGCTACAATTTTGACTATGATGAGTATCATAGGTGAGTATTTGGACTCAATTGATTTTTAAACTCTCATTGTATTATGTTATTGAATTTAATGTTGAATGAAATGTCCCACATCGGTTGAAACGAAATTTTTAAGACTTGGGTAATTCTTTTCTTTTTGAGCAATTATTTAAGGCACGAGTTAGATTCCACATGGTATACGACGTGGGGGCCTCTGGACTGTGTAGAAGTTGTGAATATACTCCTCATCCATGATTGTATACGCTTCAGTCCAGAAAGTTTCTAAGCATGGAGGTGTTGAAAGAAATGTCCCACATTAGACGGGGATGAAATCTTGAAACTTCTTATATAGTTTGGTAATTCTTGTTTCTTTGAGTTAGACTTGAAATTTGTAACAACCCGAAATCCTCACTATATTAATAAGAACTTTGAAACACGATTACAACCTTAAGATTCTAATTGCAATAATCAACTACCGAATTACAATAGAAATATTGAAATAACGAGTACTTAAAGATAGAAGAAGAATGGAGATGAGAGCTTAGATTCTAGAAGAAGAGGAGAGGACAAACATTTTCTTCAATATGCATCCCCCTTCTTTCCAACTCATTTTCCCTTTTAACTAAATGCTAATTGGGCCTGGATCCCAAATAAAACACTCCAATATTTTACTTGGCCCACTCTCATTCACTACTTATAACTCATAGGCCCTTATAGAGCTAGCTTGGTTCACAACAAAATTCATTTGACGTTTAATTTGCAGTTTTGTCCATGGTGGATTGCCTTATGAAAAATTGAGGCCTGACCCTATTCTGAGAAGTCTTTTGCTAAGCCTACCGATCCGCAAAGTTGTAAGTCCATAAATACAATCCATAAGCGTAAATATCACATTTTGTAAATTTTCTATTTGAACTATCTCGTGCTTATATTTTCTATCTTAACTATCATTAACTTTTTATCAAAACACATTTCAAAATTAATGAATTCAGTTGTCATGTGAACGAAATTTTATGGGCAAATTAACTTGATTGTCACGTGTTTTTTAGCTTCTAGTTAGCTTGAATGTGTTTTGATTAATAATTAGTGAATAGTGATAGTTCAGATAGTAAACTAACAAAAACGTGATACTTTAGGTGTGTTTTGATGTTTCTAAATGTTCTTTTTTCATTTTCTTTTTGTGTAACAGATCTTTACTAATGCTGATGAGGTCCATGCTCTCAAAGTTCTAAATAAACTTGGATTGGAAGATTGTTTTGAAGGGATAATATGCTTTGAGACTCTTAATCCAATTGACAAGAGCAATGCTACTACTAATAATGGCTCTCATGAGATCTTTGACATAATTGGACATTTTTCTCAACCTAAGGCTGACTCAGTGTTGCCAAAGACACCAATTCATACATCATTCGGCAACGTGGAGTATAATGAACTCGGTTAGAGCAGGCAAAACCGTGTAGGAATAATATCATAATTTGGTTGGCAGCTTGGAGTAGTCTAGACATGGTTGCACAATTCTTGATTAGCTTTGGAACATGGCAGAGATGTTTAATAATTTGAGATATATCCAAAAGAGCACTGCACCTAAACATCTGACCCAAACTTATGAAAGCAATACTACCAATAACATAGGAGACCTTTGTCATATTTTCCAACGGCAACCAACACATATCTGCAATTCCCTTCTTACTCCATTCTGCCTTCGTATCAATTCCTTTACAATCAATTGAAATATTCACCTTGAAGTATCGATGAATAGTGTTAGAAGCTAACCTTCCCCCAAACCTCTACATTGAAACTGATATAAGCCAATTACAACCACGCTCTCTGTGATTTACAGTAAAACTCTTCGACATTATCAAATGGAGTTCAGGTATAACCTGCCCTGCGGCCACATACACTTGTTCAAGAGGATAACAAAAACTAATGCAGTATCTAAGCCATGATGTAATCTATGACGTGCAGCCCACTCTATCATCTCAAGGACCCCATAATGTAACTTGTAGAAGGGGGCTCAACCTGAAACTTCACCTTATATCCACTCCTTAATACTACTTCTTTCCACTCCAGTAACATGGTACCAAGCAAAATAATATAGTGAAGATGTAAAACTAATGTGTGCTTGAAGTTGGCCGCCAAAACCTCATGTGTTGCATCATAATTATATCGATGTAAGGCTAGTGTATATGCAATTGACAGACATGTGAACAGAATTCGCAAGTAGGAATTTACACACCATTGTTGTCCAGGATCCCACACTCTATTCATAGAGTTTGAATACACAATTAAGAATAACCTGTCAGTACATCCCAGCAATAGCAGTTCTTTCACGTTGTATACTGTATAACTTGTTAGAACTATGAAATCGAAACCTATTCCTGGATCCCAGACACAAGGATCCGCTATAGTTGTGGGAATGGTTACAATAAGGAATTTAGCAGCAGGTTCAAATGGAAATTGACTCAAAATCTGTTCACCGTTGAACTCCCGGATGGATTTTCCATTTTCTGTGTTAGGAAGTATTTTAACAGAATGCATTAAACTTGTCAAGATATTGAGATATAGTTCTTCATTATCCACCGGTTCCATGAAAAAATCAGCAAGATAACAATCATCGAAGGACTCCAAATCAGTTTTCCATTTAGGAGAGCCACTAGCAAGAGAGTTAACATCTACGTACCTCATTGACATATCTCGTACGAGATGTTCATTCGGCCTAACAACTTCTGGACCATCAAAAGGAACTAGAAGTGATACTCGAGGTGCAATTGACTTTATCTCCCCGAGTTTAATGTTGTGGGGACTTTTATCGAGCATCTGGATGGTTACTTCAGGTGGTAAATTGTCATTTCCGCAGATGCTTGTGTCAGACACCTTAGAAACTACACGTGCAGACTGATGTTCATCATGGACACTAGCATTAGGATCGTGGAAGTTGCGGCTCGCTGTTTTACATGAAATTTCAGCGAACACTAAATCAATGCTCACGACAGAAGGTTCCTCTACCAAAGCAGTTGTTGATTTGGATCTCCCGTTTTGAGCAGTTAATGTGTTGTCTAAAGCCGCTAGACTGGTGATACCTCCATTAGTGAAATCCCAGGCATCTGCAGTGTGATACTTCACAGGCAATTTATCAAACACATGGTCTGCCTGTGAGTTTCCTGTGTTGTAGGTTGATGCAATGGCAGAGGACTTTGAAAAATGACTGGAAACAGGAAAGGGAGACACCACAACTGATTGTGAAATAATCTGGACAGAATTAACGGAGTCATAATGAACCTGTGAGGAATTAGCTAGACGCCCCAGCACCTTTATGTTGGTTTGTTGTTGAAATCGTTGAGTAAATGCATCCTTGAAATGGTTCCAATCGAAAAATAGCTTGTTGCGAAACAACCAATCGAACCAGCAAAGATCTTCACCATCAAAGTAGAATGAAGGAAGAGGTAGCCAGTCCATCTCGTCGAAGCCAAGATATGTGAAGTACAACTCTGCCCTAAAAATCCAGTTCTTCGAGTTGTCGTTGTCATTACCACTGAATCTAGGTAGAAACATAGCCGCTGGTGGAGTTCTTTGGATGAAAGCACCAATGTAACAACCCGAAATCCTCACTATATTAATAAGAACTTTGAAACACGATTACAACCTTAAGATTCTAATTGCAATAATCAACTACCGAATTACAATAGAAATATTGAAATAACGAGTACTTAAAGATAGAAGAAGAATGGAGATGAGAGCTTAGATTCTAGAAGAAGAGGAGAGGACAAACATTTTCTTCAATATGCATCCCCCTTCTTTCTAACTCATTTTCCCTTTTAACTAAATGCTAATTGGGCCTGGATCCCAAATAAAACACTCCAATATTTTACTTGGCCCACTCTCATTCACTACTTATAACTCATAGGCCCTTATAGAGCTAGCTTGGTTCACAACAAAATTCATTTGACGTTTAATTTGCAGTTTTGTCCATGGTGGATTGCCTTATGAAAAATTGAGGCCTGACCCTATTCTGAGAAGTCTTTTGCTAAGCCTACCGATCCGCAAAGTTGTAAGTCCATAAATACAATCCATAAGCGTAAATATCACATTTTGTAAATTTTCTATTTGAACTATCTCGTGCTTATATTTTCTATCTTAACTATCATTAACTTTTTATCAAAACACATTTCAAAATTAATGAATTCAGTTGTCATGTGAACGAAATTTTATGGGCAAATTAACTTGATTGTCACGTGTTTTTTAGCTTCTAGTTAGCTTGAATGTGTTTTGATTAATAATTAGTGAATAGTGATAGTTCAGATAGTAAACTAACAAAAACGTGATACTTTAGGTGTGTTTTGATGTTTCTAAATGTTCTTTTTTCATTTTCTTTTTGTGTAACAGATCTTTACTAATGCTGATGAGGTCCATGCTCTCAAAGTTCTAAATAAACTTGGATTGGAAGATTGTTTTGAAGGGATAATATGCTTTGAGACTCTTAATCCAATTGACAAGAGCAATGCTACTACTAATAATGGCTCTCATGAGATCTTTGACATAATTGGACATTTTTCTCAACCTAAGGCTGACTCAGTGTTGCCAAAGACACCAATTCTTTGCAAACCTTCACAAGTTGCCATTGAAAGGGCATTGGACCTTGCCAACATCATTAATCCACACACAACAGTAAGAATTTCTAAAATCAGCTTATTTTGAAAAATGTTTTATTGTCAAAGTGAGACAATGTTTGTGTTTGACCAATAAAATTTGAAAAGCACTATTAAGCAACAAAAAGTATTTCTAAGGATATTTTTATCAAAAGTGTTTTCCATAGATGTACTATTGGGAAAAAACTAGAGTTTTTTTTTTTTTTTTAGCTTCTGAAAAATAGTTTCTGAATACTCTCTAGAGACACTTATTTTTTCACAATAGTTTGGTCAAACACCTCACTTTTTGAAGGAAAAAAAATATATACACTTTTGACTTTTCAAAATCTTGGCCGAATAGGCTATTAATATATACTCATTTGAAAAAAATCTATTTTCCAGCTTTTCTTTGAAGATAGTGTGCGTAACGTTCAAGCTGGCAAGCGTGTAGGTCTTGATACAGTTCTGGTAAGTACTTCTACTTCCACTGTTTCATTTTATACGATATTTTTTCTTCTTTAGTATGTTCCATAAATAACAACACATATATTTATATATCTAGAAATCCTTTTAACTTTGCATTTTTAATTTTTTTTACCACTGACATAAGACACTCTTATAACCACAAAAAGTCATGCTAGCATCAAGTTGTAAGGTTTTTATATGATATGTGGACAAAAATTAATCTTTCTTAAACTACGTATCGAGTCTCATATGCTATATTGTTGTTATAATTTTCAGGTTGGGAAGTCCCAAAAAGTTGTAGGTGCAGATTATGCACTAGAAAGTATCCACAACATAAAGGAAATATTACCACAACTTTGGGAGGTTGAGAAGGTGGCTGAAGTTACCTACTCTGGTGTTGCTGTGAAGACATCTGTCATAGCTTAGATATATATATATATATTCCAAATTTACTGTCAAATTGATTTAAATGATGATGTAGATGTTTTGTGGTCATTATTATAAGCTAATTAGTCTTGAATTCTGCTTAGTCGAACTTTGTTAAATTCTAATTGTATTTTTTTCTCTATTTACTTTGCGTGTAATTATGTGCTAGTTAACCCTCAATGAACTTTCCGCAGCACAAAAATTACACCCAAAATTAATAACAAACATCACAACAAATAATTGCATTAATTTTATTGGCATATAGTATATTGATGCCTAATCAAATGTACAGAAAACTTAATCCAGATCCTTGAAACTTTTGTTTAATAATATGATCGAGTTTCTCACTCATCTCTTTAGTGAAGTAATTTTTCCAATCTCCAACTTCCCCTCTACGAAAAAAGACTTTATTTTCCTCTCCAGATGACAATTTTCCATTTCTATTCACCTCCAAATTACTTAAATTATCAAAGCTACACATTCTTAATATTTCATCAACCACTCCACATTTTTCTTCCTCCATGAAAAATTGACATTCCAAAAATTCAGCCAAGCGTTTAAGTTGAAGTTTGGGTTGCGCTTTAATTTCTTCATACATCAAGAAAAGTAATTTGTTAGGCTTTTCTATGCTTTCTTCCTCCATGAAAAATTGACATTTCAAAAATTCAGCCAAGCGTTTAAGTTGAAGTTTGGGTTGCGCTTTAATTTCTTCATACATCAAGAAAAGTACTTTGTTAGGCTTTTCTATGCTTTCTTTCCAATAGTCCAACACGTGATTCCAAAACGGACCATAAGGGTTCACCCCCTTGCAAAAAAGATCAAAACATTCTTCAATGGACTTGATGTCAGTGTGATCAAGTTTTAAATTGTTTGCAAAATGCCACATAGAAATAAAAGTGTCCCTAGGATTCCTACATAAGTAAACAAGTTTGGTTCTTGATTCATGGATAGATTTTGGCAATGAACCAAAGGACAAATGAGTTGCCAAGAGTCTAGGTGAAGTAAAAGATGAAAAATTAGGGAGTTGACCATCAACATAGAGTTTGAGTTCCAAGAATGGAACAAGATCATGAGGGTTCTTAACAAGTAAAGGGTGATCTTGTTCAAAAATAGGATATTTCTTTCGATTCATTAGAGAAAATAAAAGTGATTTTACCCAAGGCGTTCCTGATTTAGAAGTTGTTACGAGGATGAAATCACTCTATTGAGCATGAAATTGTTGCTGACACGCAAGCACACCTCCTAGTAGTCTTGGATCTAGCCAAAAACCTTGGTAATTGTAGAAATCATGTGATGCAAGCCATGATCTTTGTTTAGGTAGAGTTGAGAGCAATGTCTTACACTCATCACTAAGTCCATCCTCTAGTAAATACTTGGGAGGAATTTGTGGTGGAATAGTTTGAGATATTGACATAGTTTGTGGTGAAATAAAGGAGTGTTTTTTTTTTATGTTTGTATGATGAAAGATTTACTCATGATGAATGCCAATATATATACACACATTAGTGTATAGTTGTCACAGCTTGCAATGCGTTTCATATCCAGCGAAGCAATCACAAGAAAATAAAACGACTAGTGTATAGTGTCATTCTCTACCATTAAACTATCATGACGACGTATTACACACTCAATTTTGTTTAAAGTAAAATTAATATCCTCTTTCGAAAACAATATCAATTTTTGTGTGAAAATGTGTTATGCACGCGTTTTGACACGTAAATAAGATTATTTTAATTTTTTAAAACCATTTTTCATTAATATTTTCTTTGATTTTTGCAAAAACTAGAAACCTAGGCTTTCTTCCTCCTACCCCCGGCCCTTACATTTCTTTCTTCTTAAAATCAATTTCTTCTTTTTTCTTCGTTATTCATAAATTGAAGGGAAAACAAGAAATTTGAGGAGAGAACATGAGACAATAAAATGATTATGAAGTTTAGTGATGTTGGCGCCGGCGATAGGCGGTGGGCAATACCATTGTTGCCGGCGAAACAAATAAAAACTTTCAAATATATGTAATAGTTCTTTTGAAATTTTGATAATTAGTATTCTTTGTGTGTAAAATCAAATATGTTATTGGTGGCTTGAGACAAAAATAACATTGTGATGATTATGGGTGGTGCCTCGACGAGTATAAAGAAGATAAAGATAGAAAATTATTTTCTTCCATGAGTTTTTGAAAAATGTAGGCAATGAAAAATGAATAATATTAGATGTGTAATATAGGTCATCTTCTTCTCACGCACTTTAAGAAAGGTGAAGATATTTTCTGTCTCATGTCACCTTCTAAGGGGGTATTAATATCACTTTGAATAATATTAGATGTGTAATAGATTATCACAATAATTTAAACGTGTAACTGACTTTTCGAAACAAATTTAGGGAAAAGTCCAAGCAATTTGTTAGACATCTATTTATGCTGATCAAGGCTAAAGTTATAATATGTCCCCCCGGTCCCCACTATGACTTTATGGAAAAAAATATTAGTATTAAAGAACACTTATTCAACATTAACATTTCTGTTATATAAAATATTGTATGAATACTCATTTTATTGGTTCATTTTAGCAAATTGGGATACATTTATCACTCATTTTCTTTCAATGCTACTCAGATTAAATTAAATTTTCGAAGCTTATTTATAAATATTTCTCATGTAAGTTAATATGGACCAGTAAAATGAAATGGGGAGCCTTCTATGAGGACGAGGCTACACGAAAGTTCAAGATAGTCCCATCCATTATTTGTTAAAGTGGGTGGAAAACCACCCACTTTAACAAAGATTTGATTCGAATAATCACATTCGACAATATTTAATTCCCAAAAAACCCAAGCATCAAATAACAAGAGAAAAAAGAAGAACAAGCTTAATATATGAAAATTAGCTCCTAATCATCCATGACCACAAAACCAAATCTTGGAATCTCACTACAAATTTTGTAGCTTTCCACTCAATTATTCAAAGTTACGTACTAATACTATGTATACATTGTTATTTTCTCAAGCAAGAAGCTTTTTTTTATCTTGTCAAGTGTCCCACGTTAGTACTTAAGGAAATTAAGTACATCTTATCTCTTTACATATTAATTTTGAACAATCCTTACTTCATGAGTTATCTTTTGAAATTGAATTGAATTTGATTCAAGCTAGTCTATTTTCCTTATCATCGTATCTAAGTCCGCTACATCCTAATACTCCAATTGTTAATTACTTTATCAAATGCTTAACTCCTATTATGTTATATTGTTCATACTTCAAATGTTTGATTCAAGAAATTCTCTAAAGAGCTAGTAGGGAGTTAATTTAGTGTCCCACATCGATTGAAAAAAAAAAATTGCCTCCAGAATATCCAAATGGTCTTGATTTACCTAATGTTATATGCTAATTTCACGCTGTTACACACACATGAAAACGAATGAGCTTTGATAATTTTCGACGATTTTTATGTTGTAAACGCTAGTTTTTAGAATTGAATTAGGATATATTGTACATAGTTCTTCTATTTGTTTGGATATACCCACTCATTTTCTCTTTGGCTATTTTCTTGTGACCTTTCTAATACTTAAGGGGTTATTTTTATACTTTTCCCTGCATCACAATAAGGTACTATATATAAATTCTCTTTTTAAAAGAAAAAATATAGAGGGTTTTATTTAGTTTATATATTTTGTCTTTCACAAATTTTATAGTATTAAGAGCTAATTATATCATATTTTTATTTTTTTCAAATTATTAAAATCCCTTAAATTTGATGGAATTCGCATACATATCAAAACATCTCGATACGTTGCATCCCAATTTTGAATACATTGCTCAACATCCCATCAATACATTGCGTCTCACTTTTAGATACATCACTCAACGTTATTTTATTTTAATCATTGACAAGACACTTATAACCACAAAAATGTCATGCCAACGTCAAGTTGTAAGGTTTTTATATGATAATGTGGGCGGAAATTAATCTTTCTTAAATCACGTATATATCGAGTTTGATAGCTTAGAAATTAGAATATATATTTATATATCATGCTTATTTACTAGCTGCTGTTGGGAGAAAAAAATAATCATTAATGGTTATGGGATATTCCAAATTTCCTGTAACATTGATTTAAATGATGTTAGATGTTTTGTGGTTATTATTATAAGTTAATTAATATAGTGCTTACTTTCAACTCACGGTTTAAAATAAAGATTTTTCTCATTGCGAATGAGAGGAAAATTTATGTCATAGAACATATTTTTTTATTTATTTTTTACTGAATCAGCTTACTGAAAAAACATATGGTAGAAAACTGATTATCATCAAAATAGTGGAAAACAAATTTTCATTTCCTATTTTTTCATATTAAAATATTATTATTTTTTATTTTCCAACTAATTCAATCAAAATATACATTATTTATATATGGTTAATATTATTTTTTATGTTATATATTTAGTAGCTTTTGAATATTTTTTTATTTTTACGTGTGTTTATTACATTTCTTATTTTGATTAAACTCCTTAGTGAAAATTTTGCCTTTGAATCCAACACGAGTGAATCAATATTAATCCAACACCTAACACACATTAATCAAACACTTACACACACATTAATCCAATTACACCTAACACACATCAAATCATATCATTAAATTAAAGGGACTACAATCACCTAACACTTTTTTTTAAAATGTCAAATTCTTTTAAAATAGTGTATTTTGAAGAATTTGATTTAAGTATCACAATTTTTTTGAAAAGTCCGATTAACTAATTAACCCATGGCACCAACTCATAGTTGAATTTGTACACACTATACATGGCAAGAAAGAGAGATCAAAGCGGCAATATGAAAAAATATATATATAAAAAAATTGTAATTATATATATATATATAAACATTTTGTGTATATTGGTGAGTAATATTTTCTTATTTAGAGATTATACATATGACCTAAGTCCTAACCTCTTTTTAAAAAGTCAAAATTATAATTAAACATATATATGTATAATTTTTATAC